TGCATTGCTAACTTACAGCCTCCCATCTCATTCTTGCAACAGAGGATTAACATAGCTTTCCCAAGCCACCTGTTCTGTATATTAAGTATCAGATGACCAATAAACAGCTGTGAATTACTTGATCTGTAAGTATCTTGATTTTTACTTGATGTGAGTTTAATTTTGTCATGGACTAATCATTCTCCAGTGTGAATAAACCCAAGAATATCTTCTGTAGAAGCAATACTGGTGAAAAGAAAACCAAATGGACAGAATGTATGCTAATAGTGCTGATTTCCAAAGCTTTCTCTTGCACTGAATTCATTCCAATGCTAACTAAAAACAAAAAATTGCCTTCTCTTTTCACTACAATGGAAAGGATGTGTAGAAGGAAGACAATAAAATATTCTTGCAGAGATTAATTACATTTTCTCTTTTTAGGACTGGAACCCCTTATTCCTATTTTGTCTAATGAAGAAATGAGTGGACAGAGGACACTTACAAATCTATACAGAATGTGGACACTTATAAGTCTATAGAGAATGTAATATCTGAAGCTAGCAGTAATCAATTTTAATAAGGATGTGGTACTTTAGCCACATAAAAATGTATTGTAAATGACTATATTGATTGCAGTTACTGGATGATGCTTAATATTCCCAAATGCCAAAAGTAAGTCATAGGGTAATTTTATGAATAAGGTTAAAATTAGTGTTATGTTTTATAAGATTTGTGATTTAATGGCCAGACCATGAGCAGACAGCAGATAGCTGCTTAAAACTGTACTCTTGTCCCATTTCTATTACAAATTGGACAAGTTTCTATGAAGATCAGTTTCCCATCTGTAAAATAGGAGCAACAGGCTTTCATAGGTCATTAGTGACAACAAATAAATTAGTTTAAATCTAGTTTTTAGTCCCAAATTTAGTAGTTTCATTTAATCAATGGAAACCTAGTAAGTCAACAGTTGTATAAGATCTATTGATTCATTGGGTCTACTGTAATTTTGATTTTGGCCACTGATAATTGCCAAGTACTTTGTATACAAGAAAAAACTCAAGAGAGAATTCCAGAAAACAGGAGAAATGCAGCTATTGTATGCATTTCTCCCTCCCCCCAAAAAAACTGGAATGGGAAACGGTATGCAGATATGAAGACATCAAGAAATTTAGTACATGTATAGATGTGTTTCTGGCTATTACTTTTACAGAAAATTTGGCACTATAATGATTGCTGCACTGCTTGTTATTGTTTCCTTTTGTATGATTTTCCATTACATTTTTGTGGAAAAAAGAGAGACAATTAACCATGTAAGAACTACAAAGACTCCAAAGACTGTGATAACTGAACCATAAAAAGAAATTAGCATAAAACTCCCTCAGTGCATTGGTCTACCAAAGTGTACTTACACTTTATATTCACTTTCTGTTTTTTTTAAAAAGCCTTCTCCAGTGTCAAAATTGGTCTACCACCACCACCCCACACCAAATGTGGTTGGAATGTGCCCTGTGGATTCTAGAGGACATTTTGGGACAAAAACATATTTTTTAAAAAATGTTTGCAAAATGTTTTCACTGTTGGCTGCCACAGAAGGCCTCCAAACATGATGGGAATGACCTCATTGTCCCCTAGAAGTCATCTAGAGACATGTCCCCATGGGCCCTAGATGGTATTTGGGGGCAAAGGTACTTTCTGATTTTCATGTTTGTTTTTGTGGAGGTAAGTATGGCCCTCTATGAACTCCCATGAGACCAATTCAACTCCCTACTCTTCCACAATTGCCCACCCCAGATGTAGATCATGACAAACTATGAAAACCAAGAAATGGAAGTCCCACAATTTGATTGTTGGGAAATAAGTCTGGGGAATATTATTAAGTCTTATTATATCTGGATAAAAATGAATTTGAATTTAATAATAATATTTAATAATTAATGATATTATTTAAAAATATTAAGTATTCCCCAGACTTGCTCCCAACAATCAAATTGTGAGACTTCCATTTCTTTTAGAGTCATCCATAGTTTGTCAAGAAATCTGAAATCTAAGACTGCAGTAATTTTGAGATTAATTGTAGTAAGTGTTGAACTGTATTCGGTACAGGCCTTTGTTTCCTACTTCAGTAACATCCAGCACTATTTAAAAAGTAAAGGTAAAAGTGTTCCCCATTGACAAGGTTGTCAAGTCGTGTCCAACCATAAGGGGTGGTGCTCATCTTCGTTACTAACTCAAAGAACCAGCGTTGTCAGAGACTACTCTGTGATCATGTGGTTAGCAGGATTGCACAGAATGCTGTTTACCTTCCCACCGAAGTGGTAACTATTTATCTACTTGCATTTGCATGCTTTCAAACTGCTAGGATGGCAGAAGCTGGGACTAGTGACAGGAGCTCACTCCATCATGCAGCACCTGGGCCTTGAACTGCTAACCTGCTGATCTTGCAATCAACAGAGTCAGCATCTTAATTACTTGAACCACTGCATCCCTTGACCAGCATTCTTTACAAAGGCCTAAATCCATGTTCTAGTATCAACTATAGCAGGCCTACTTAGGAGCCCTGGTGGTGCAGTGGCTAAATGCCTGTACTGCAGCCACTCACTCACAAACCACAAGGTTGCGAGTTCAATACCAACCAGGGCTCAGGCTCGACTCAGGCTTTCATCCTTCTGAGATTGCTAAAATGAGTACCCAGCTTGTTGGGGACAATTGGCTTACAGTTGTAAACCGCTTAGAGACTGCATAGCATGGTATGAAGCGGTATATAAATGAAGCTGCTATTGCTACTGAATTGAAAGACAGTACTCAGTGTTCAGTGGGTCTACTCTAACCAATGAGAGCCAGCATGGAGTAGTTGTTTGAGTGATGGGACTAGACACTGGGAAGAACAGAGTTCAAATGTCTTCTCAGTCATGGAAACCTACTGGGTGACCTTGGGCAAGTCACATACTCTCAGCCTCAAAGGAAGTTAAGGGCAAACCACCTCTGAACAAATCTTCCCAATAAAAAATTGTGATAGGGTTGCCATAAGTCAGATATGACTTGACAACAACTCTGCCCATGACTGGTTATTAGATTCACACCAGTCTGCACCAGAAAAATATTAACATAAGTCTTATTATATCTGGATAAAAATGAATTTGGATTAACATTACAGGTTATAGCAAGAGAAGCAATAATACTACAACAAGATAAATGAAAAATTAGACCAATCATTATGCAAACTATTTCTTTAAAAAAAACTTAAATATAAATGTTAAAAGCAATTGATTCCAAACTTACAGAAACATAGCTGGCATTGATGTAATCAGATCCAGGTATACTTGCATCAGGCATTAGCTTTACCCGGTTGTTGTTATCTGCAGTAGAAGTAAAAGCAAGGCAATAGCTGTTGTTTGTTTCCAAATATTAGGCAGACAGATAAGATAAATCTCATATAGACAGACAGACATAGATGTAAAAGCAATATGTTAGTGTTATAGCTTATGGTATTCATAGGCCTACATCTCCACCATTAGTCAAAGAGATCCCTCCTACCATGTCATAACTTTCTTTCCCTCTTTGCCTCTACAACCTACTCTGCTGATTCAAACTTAGCTCTTCAGGGATTTCAGGTCCCCCAGAGACAGTTTAAGTGTGCTACTGAAGGGAGGAGGGAATGTCCCCATCATGGTTGCATTGATAGAAGCAGTTCCAACAGCAAATCCCAGCCATAAGGCCAAAACACATGGGCATAATAAAGCAGTTTCAAGCTGCTTAGAAGGCAGGGTGTTTAGATGATATACACCTCAAAAGCAGCTGGGAACCAGACTAAGGGGAGATGCAGACAGGCCGCCCTGGGCCGCCCTAGGAAGCAAAGGATTGGGGCCAAGGCTGCCCCACGCCTTGGCCCCAATCCACCCTTTCCCCAGCCTTTTCAGAGCCCACAAAAAGGATGCCCAAAGAGCCGCCGCACGGCTCTTCTGCGCCCCTTCTGGCACAGCGCGTCAAGACGCTGCACTGGAAGGTTGTCCTGATGGTGTGCACTGTGCATAATGGCGCGTGCCATGATGACGTCTTTGGGGAAGGGTTGAGGTGGCTGCCTCTCCCCTTCCCTGCCTCCAGGACGGCCCAAAGGGGCATATGTAGAAGCCCTGAATCTGCACTCCAGGGCTAAAAACTGAAGCAAAAAGAAGCCAGGATAGTCCAACTCAAGGCAGAAAATGTGCATCTTCCCAGCTGCATATAAATCCCCCAATGTGAGAGTGGGGCTGCGGCAAAGCAAACGAATGAAAGTGCAACAACATTAAATGGATGTAATTACAATGTACACAGACCAGAGAGTCCAATGGGAGCTTGAGGTGAAGAGGTCAGGTAGAGTGGGCCTCCATGAGTGTGCTTTGTCAATGTATCATTTGCACACCAATGTCCTGTATTGCCAGAGCATCGCATGTGCGACTGAGGCTGATCAAAGGGGTGGCCACCCAATGGGATGGCATCTGGGTAGATGTGGGAGGTAATTGGAGGTCACAGGTGCTGTGTGTGTGTGTGACAGTGTGCATGTATGGCGGGGAGACAACAACAGCAAAATACCTAGAGGTGCAGCTTGACACTGCGGCATGCGATTGGCCCCTGCTTATTCCACTTGCCTTGAGAGCAGGCCATGTGGACTGCAGGGTTTTGTCCAATTTTGGAAAAAGCAGGCTCGAGCCATGTCCACCCACCCCCCTGGTTCTGCCTCATAGTTATTTTCATAGAATTCAAGGTTTATGCTGTTCTTGTTTCACTCATCTATGCACAGCCGTTACTAAATAAACATAATTCTTAATATTGTTCTACCCTAACTCCCTCATGTGAAAGTACAATATCAGTGTTCTGGTAATTTCAAAATATCAATTAACTGCCTTTTCCCCAGGGTAGATATTACAATATATTACATGCCTTCAAGTCATTTCTAACTTATGGCAATCTCAAGGTGAACCTAGCACAGGTTTTTGGTGGGCTGAGAGTGTGTGACTTGCCCAAGGTCACCCAATGGGCTTCCATGGATGAACAGGGACTTGAACCCTGGTCTCCAGAGTCATAGTCCAATGCTTAAACCACTACAACACACTGGCTCTCAGTAAAGATATGCTATGATATAAATAAAATACTATAATAGGATTTTAAATTTATGTCTAAAATAAATATATTTTAAATTTGGTGTGGGAATTACATGGCCTTCTAGATGCTGATTTGCAACTTACAGCAGCCTATACCATCATAGCCAATGATGAAGAATTCTGGGAGTTGCAGTTCAACAATGTATGGGGGACTGCATGCAGTTCAACAATGTATGGGGGACTGGCCTGAATCCAATGTTAGAGTATAGTCAATGCAATCAGAAAGTTAGTCATGACTAACATATTCCATTAACTTCAAAGTGTCTATATAGATAGGAGATAGGATATATATAGCTGGATTTAGCCCCTTCAAAAGTTGCAACCCTGTTAGTGCATTAGTCCATGTTATATCACAAATAGACCAAAAACACCAGGTTTTAGCATTGGTAAACAGAGTAAGCAGCAGATAGCAGCAGCAGCTGTTAAGAAAAGTTAATAACACAGAATGTGGCTACATTCACAGAGGAATGCTTTGCCCCCCATCTCACATCACAGCTAATGCTTAAAATAATAATGGAATTTCTCGTCTTATTAAGTGAAAAATGAAGCAGTGTTAAACTACAGTGAGACAGACTCCTGTCTCCTGTGATAAAATCTATCCTTGACTTACAAGTTACCATATATTCACTCTGATCTTTAGTGGAAATCTCACACAGTATGTTTGTGAGTATACTTATGGATCCATCACTGTGTTCCAATGGAAAGGAAAGTTAACATAGGGCCTAAGCAGACTGCTAGAAATAGTGCACATTAAATTGAGGCACTGCCCTGGCTCAGTGCTAGGGAGTCATGGGAATTTTAGTTTTTCCTGAGACATTGAGCCTTCTCTGTCAGAGAGCTCTGGTGCCACAATAAATTACAGTTCCCATGATTCCCAAGCACTGAGCCAGGGCAGTGCCTCAATTTAATGTGTACTATTTCTGGCAGTCTGCTTAGGCCTATAGAAACAGATCAATATATATTTGTCAATATATAAGAAATTATTTTTTTCACTAGGACCAGGGCACAGCTTTGGTTCAGCCAACCACCAATTTTAAACAGCACACCTCCAAAGTGGCCTGAAGCTGCTTTATTTGGTCTATCTGTTCAGGCCCAGAGTTAAGTAATTATTTAAAGTTATGTGGGCCTATCAGTCGCAACTGGAGTAGACTCATATAAAAACTGTTGAACAGTGAATCAACATGTAGACCAGGGGCCGGCAACCCACGGCCCCCGGGCCCAGGTCGCTGGACTTACTGGCCCAGGCGGACCCCTACTGCCACCGCCGCGCGCCGCCATGCACTTTCTCGTCCGTGTGGCTGCATGCGCCAAGGCCGCCATTTTGAATTCCAAAATGGCGGCCTTGACACGTTTGCACATGCGCAGTTTGCAGCAATTGAAGTAAGCTGAGGAAAACGTAGGAAAATGAAAGGAGGAGAAAGAAACCCCCCCCAACGCATCGGGAGGGGCTCTATGTTGCACCGACCATCCTGGAGAGACCGGCGCCATGATTGGCTGGGAGGGCAGGAAGTCCTGCCCTTCCTGGGCCTCCCAACCAATCAGGAGGATCTCGCGAGATCCACCAACAGCCCACATAATCTCGCAAGACCAGATAGTCTCGTGATGTTTAGGGTGAGATTTGGGAATTATTTAATCGCCGGCTGCCACATGGTGGCAGCCATTTTAAGCTCAGACAGCAGCATGACCCAACCCACCCACCCTTAGTTCAGCAGGAGTTTTATTATACTCAGGCTTCAGCTGGTCGCCTTCGGGGGCCAGGAGGGAATTTCCCCATAGTTATTGTAACTTGGGTTTTTCGCTTTCCCTGAGAATAATGTTGTCTGGGTTTACATGTTAGTGACATTTGTTATTGTCATTGTTTGTTATTAAGCAGCACATGTATGTATTCATGTGTTACTCCTGATTTGTCACAACTGGGAACAGGGTCTTTTGGTCAATTATGGTGCAATGCTTTGTCTCGGTTGGGCTGGCAGGGCTCCCCCAGGGGATAATTTGGATATTTGAATGCGCAATATTTGATTTGTTAATGGGGTTGAAGGGTTATGTCATCAGCTTTTAGAAAAATTTTCTGATGTCATCAAAATTAACGATGACATCATAACTTGTTTACATAATTCTTTTGTGATGACATCAAAATTGGTATGGGGGGAGATTATTTGTTTACATGTTTACAATTTATTTGGGAACCTTCTTGACATATGCTTGTGAAAGGCATGTCTGGTACCTGATACGTTGACTTGATTAAAATCATTGATTACATCGGGCATCAGGACACGTGCACGGACACATGTGTCAAGAACGAAGTTATAGTCAACTTAAGAATTTGTTATAAAAAGATATTGTTTCTGACCCTGTACAAATTAATAAAGTTGTGGCCATTTATTAATCCAAAAGATGGTGTTCAGACTCTTTTGTGCTGGTGCAACATTTTAAAAGCAGCTGAAAAATTAGAATGACAGAGGATTAATTGGGACGTCTTGCCAAATAAGGACAGTTGGAGGGCAGGATTCTGGCTATGATTTCTTGTAACACTAGTTTAATATGTACGAGATATTACAAGAAATATGAGTGTACAAGAAAGCTAAACAATAATAATAAATAACTTTCAATAAAGCAAAAAAAAAAAAAAAACTAGAGAGAGAAATAATGTGATAGGTCCAAGCTCTTATCTGCATTGAGAGCCTCACCCACAATTTAAACACCAGAGTATGTTCAAGATATATTTCTCATATACAGAGTGGGAGAAAAGATTAATTAGTAAAATGCAACATACATGGCTTGATGTTTGGGAAACGGTTTTTAGATCTGTTCCAAGGAAGATCAGCATCAGTTGAGGCAAGATCTGGAAGAAACTTGGGAAGTTCCTACAAAATATATAATACATTAGAATCTCTTTTAGGTTGTTTTTGTTATAAATGAATCATAATACCATTAGATCAGAAGTAAATATGCACTAAAGAAATATAATCTTATTGATACACATAGTTCATTCCTTGAGAGGTGGCATATAGAAGATGAGGTATGTAAAAATGTATTTTATGAGACTCTTCTGGTGCTCTTACATAAATAAACTGGTTTTTTTTAAAAAAAAAAATGATGGCAGCAGAAAAATTGATATTTTTACTGACTGTTACCAAATCTCACATGTAAAGTTACACATTGTTAAAAATAAAAATTCTCTGAGATTCCAATGCACACTTATTGCAAAAATAGGATTTTTTTTTCATATTTTGAGGCATTCTGTCATTTGCTCTTATGAAAGAAAATATACAATGATGGTGAGATCAAATGAAACAATTGGATTCAACTACATTATTCCAGTACAAGGAAAGATTGGGGGAGGGGTATGCAAAATATATTGGATTTCTAAAGGCAGCTGGTAACATTACCAAAGCCTTTCACCTCTCTGCCAAACTTTGTTACATCCACCATGTCAAACACTAAGCTGCAGAACAGACTGTCAGGCTATCTAAGCTTATACAAACTTTCATATCCGAAGTCTTAATAAAGTCAGTCTATCATCCTCATTGTGTTGTGTGGCTTTTAAGGGAGCAAATCAAATAGGGCAGGGCTTTTTCCTGTGCCATTTTATGTAGCAACAGCAGTCTAGGTGATGCATCAGTAATATATATTTTTCTAGTTTTTATTTTATTTTATTTTATTTTATTTTGGGAGAGTCATTGTTATAGCTCCAGAACAAGTACATATTTAGTCAAACAGGGACAATTGGCAAATTGTTTTTCTTCACTGAACTCTGTCTTGATGGAGGAAGGACTAGAAAATGTAAATTGGGCATAAGAATTAGGGATAAGGGAAGAGGTGAGCTTCCCTGTTGAAATATTAAACATAAATTAAGTAGAAGGGATGGAAGTGGAAGATTAAGGCCCACAAAAACAGAGTATATTAATAGACTTCAGAATTTTTTTATTAAGTTTCTGTTAGAAAAAAAAATGAAGGGAAAGAACGGACTTAAAATCAAATTGTTACTAAGCTTATCATTTTCACCAGCAATTTTTAATGACTTCAATTTACTGTTACTAAGCCATTTATTTCCTTGGGGAATGCCATACTCCTGATTATTTCTTGCCCACAAATATCCCTCAGGGCAATTTCACCACATTCTGGGTTCTCTTTGTACCATTTTAGGTCCAAGAGAGGCCATTTTTCCAAAAGGACATGTCCTGGTAAAATTATATCCACATTTCCAAGGGGCTGTTGGGGGCATTTTGAAAAATTGTGTGTGTGTATGTCCTGGGGTTCCATATGCCACCCAGGAGTTACTTTTTCTATTAATGCCACAGCAGAAGTGCCAAAATGGGGGCAGGGAAGGAATACACCAAAGGAGATGAGTTCTGCAAGTTCCAAATCTCCTTGAGCCCAGGGATACAAATACGATATTGACACAATAATAGGCCTGAATTAGAGATGCCCTCGGCAGTTTCCTACAACCCCAGACTGGGATGAATCTAGATTCATCATAACTTCAGCTGGCGTAGTTGTTGGCTTGGCTGGCATGTGGCCGTCTTGGCCATTTAGGAATGTGTTCTACCATACTAGTTAACTGGTTACTAATTAATAATTAGATTTTTTAGTAGATTACTATGGTATAACATGACTCCAAATATCATTATCTTGGTAAGCTCTTTTTTTGGGGGGGGGGGGAAATAGCTTTACACATACTACTGCATACTCAGACGTGTCTTATGAGTCCAGTATTAAATGCAGACCAAGACTGCTTAAGTACCATGTCCAAGAATCAGTAGGAAATGCTATTAATCTTCTCACTCTTTTTGTTATTATCTGAGGATGAAATACTATAATCTAACAGTATAACTGTCAATTGATTTTTTTCTTCGTTATTCACAAATCCAGACAATGAGCAATTCATGGCAAATCTATAAAACCACAACAATAAGGTCATTGGAGAATGACAAATGATTTGGAGGATAGCAAATGT